TGACCAGTGAACTCATCCCCACTGCTTTCCTCATGTGTGCAGTGAGTGAGCTAATTACAATATACATACAATTTTAAATACTGCTTTAAAAAATATATATATTCATATAAAAATCAGTTTTGAAATACCCTATCATTTTCATAACCGCCATTAAAAATAATAGCACGAGGGCCTGGGATATATGTAACTCAGCGGTAGAGCACGTGTGACGCGCGCGTAGGCCTCGGGTCCAGTCCTTACAAAAGAACACACACACACACACACAGAAACAAAGCAAAAAAGCATAGCATGCATAATATTTCACCGGGTAAATTCACCATTCCTTTATTCTGTTTTGCTAGGTGCTCGATTTTTTTACATCTTTACATACAGGTTCAAAGTGGCTTTCTGCACTGGGGTCGCTTGTCTGTAGTCCTGGGGACAGAAGGCAGGCTCTGCGCTTCCATGCTCGCCACTGACCTGTACCCCGGCATCAGCTTGTTTAAATTTGCAGTTTTCGTTAGTAACGAACATCTTCTCCTATCTTCTCATTGCACTCAAACTCTTGTGTAAACTGTCGGTGCCCTTTTCCCATATCTCTGCTTCTACATGGCGAGGCATGTGGGCCTTAACTGACACAAGCCCGGCGCATTTTGTCATCTTTAGGCCACATGGCCCTTGTCCGTTTGTGTTTATCTTTCATTTTTACTGTGGCTTAAAAAACATTTCTGTTCTATTGGTTTTTAAATTTTAAATTATAACATTTTGATCTTTTCCCTTGAAAATATTTCCTATCACCTCCTAAACTTAGAAGCTTAGTTCTTGTTAGAAACTTGATATTCATCATCATAGTTTTGTAACTTTGCTCTTTTATATTTAACTCTTCAGTCCAACTGCCACCTATTTTAGTTTACGACAGGAGATGAGCATGGAAGTGCCACGAGCTGTCACAGCTGATCCGATGAACAGCCCTTCGATCCTTACTATGCATCCTCCAATGCAAAGTAGATCAAGAGATAATCATGATGGTCATTTCTAATCTTGGCTCTCAGGAGGCTGAGGCAGGAGGACCATAAGTTTTAGGGCAGCTTTGGCTATGCAGTGGGATTCCATCTCAAAAAAAAAAAAAAACAAAAGGAAAGAATCATTTGTGTCACACCAGCAAGATAAGTATGTTTATCAGTACGCATTGATCCCCATTAAAACTCCGGTCCTGCGTCAAGGACAAGTGAATTTTTGGTCTTAACATTCTTCATTCTTCCACACATGATTAAGCGTTGCTCATGAGCGCAAGGTGAAAGTGGAAACAGCTGGACCCTGCACGGCTTCGATCACTCTCTATCTTCATTTTTTGAGGCAAGGTTTCTCAAAGCCAGAGCTCATCGATTCTGGCTAGTCTAAGCTAGCCAGCTTGCCCTGGGAATGCAGTCCCGTGTCTTGGCCTCTTTAGTGCGGGGATTACTGGAAGCCACCATAGTTGCCCAGCTTTTGACTGAGATCTGTGGAACAGAACTCCGGTTCTCATGCTTGCACAGCAAGCTCTTTATCCGCAGACCTACCTCTTTAGACCCCTTTGCAACGTTAGGTTCCCACCTGTGATCTCCATACTGCTTCTTAGCTATACATTCCTACCCTGTTCAGGCTTTATTCAAAACAGAACACAATTTCAAAGTTCTTAAAGCTCCCCTGTCCTCCAGATCCTGGAGGAACTATGTACACATTAGATTGTGAGGAGACAGAACAAGTGAAGGATAGCCCTTAAAATGACCTTTGAAAAAATGTATGGAGGCATACTTTACAGACTAATTACAGTGGTCATTAGGTGGGGGAAAATATCAGTACAGGTTTATTAACTAGTAAAAAGATTCCAGTAGAAATGCCTCTTTGAAAACAAAGTAAAGTACATCATCAAATGCACAGATAAAATACTGAACTGTGTTTAGACAAGACTGAGCACCTTAAATGGACATACAGACTTCAGACATATAAAGATGAAATATCAGGTCAGGGGTGTATCTCGGTGGCAGAGCACTTGCCTGACATGCTTGAGGTGCTAGGTTCAGTTCCCAGCAAGGAAACTTTCAGAGCTCAGTCGGTAGAGTGCTTGCATAGCACGAAGGAAGCCCTGGGTTCAACCCTCCGTGCCGCACAAACCAGACCTGCTGTAACACCAGCACTGGAGGTAGAGGCCTGAGGAGCAGTAGTTCAAGGTCATTCTTGCTTACAAAGAGAGCTTGAGGCAATCAATCAATCAATCAATCAAAAATATGTGCAGCTGGGCAGTGGCGGCGCGTGCCTTTAAGCCCAGCACTTGGGAGGTGTTGAGGCAGGTGGATCTCCAACTTTGAGGTCTGCCTGGTCTACAGAATGAGTTCCAGGACAGCCAGGGCTACTCAGAAAAAGGGGGGAAAGTGCCATAACAGTTGACTGCCAGCAGTTGGCACTTGACCCACAGCAAAGTATGGAGGAAAAACAAGTTCTGAAATCAAAGAATGCTACTAAGTTCCCAGGACACCGTCGGTCGATGAGTCTCTCACACAGAAAGCTGGGACTACAGATATTTAAGGAAGAGGGCAGTAGTCTGTAACAGCAACGGTCTGTTCAGCTGTCTGTGTTGGGCAAGGAATAAGGCCTCTTCTCCCATCCCTTCTAGTGTTGTGGTTGGGCTACGAGTTAGCATAATAATTGATTAATCAGAGAAAAATCCTTTTATTCATTTTCATATATACATGGGAGCCTTATTATTAACGAGACTGAGAAGCCCAGATGACGGACGATGACATAACATCCAGAGCTACTGAATAAGGAGTTTCTGGGGGGAATGGCGGAGACATGTGACGAGGACTGAGGGGAGAAAACACATGGCAAATAGCGACAATGCCTCGAGCCCCTCTCTTCCTCCTAGATACTGTTGCTGTGCGCTCTACCCTGTGGCCGAAGGGCCTGGATTTGTGTACCAACTGACTCACTGGACTTGGCCAGCTGCCCTAGGTCGACAGTGAGAGAAAATGAGAAACAGGAAAGAGGAGTTTAGCAGCAGCCCAGCCTAGGCAGGCAGCTAACCTGGACTTTCCCAAGGCATCTTTTACAACCCATTAAACTTAGTCAGACTTGGTCTCTTAGAGGGGCAAGCTATCTTATGCCAGTGTTTCCATTATTCTGGCTTTGTACACTCAATATTTGGTAGCACTAGTCTTTTTGCAGGATTTTCTAAAAGAACCCTTATTTAACTTTCAAATGCAGTGATTCCTTGTATCATCCCCAAGATATCAATTTCTCGACGGCAGGATTGGGTTATTTCCTCAGAATAGACTTCTAAGAATTTTGTATGAACGTATTTCCCACTCTCAACACTAGGAAAGTTTTCACGAAGCCAGTTACAACAGAACCCTGTCGGCACCTGGATAGTTTCAAATCAAAGAGGTTTTTGTTTTTTTTTTCAGTTGGGTGGGGGGGGGTAGACTTTGCTTCAATTTCCCTACCTCCCGTTACTAAAGAGAAAGAGAAAAACCATGTGCTTGCCACATGCGGTTTAGTCAATGCTGGTTTAAGGAATGGGATCTAGGAATCTGTGCTGCGTGTATCTGGGACGTTTAAACAGTGTGCCTGCAACGAGAGAAGAGCACGTGGAAACCTGACGGGCAGTTTAGGGCAGGCACCGTCGAGCAGCAGTTCCAGGAATGCCCAGATGCTGGCAGGGAGCTCTCCTCTTAGTGAGTGTCCTTGCTTCCCTGTGGGTGTGAACAGAACTCCAGAACTCTAAAGGGCTTCTGGCAGACAGCTCTGGAACTGGAGCTCTGGATTTTCAGGATGGAAATATTGGGTCTACCCAGTCCTTAATTTCAGCCTATCTCCTAAATGACATCAGGGTTTCATCTTCAGAGCAGAGACTGTTGGGATATCTGGTGGAGATAAGAAACCAGAAGTTCTGGCTCTGGGAGGAGACTTAACAGTCTAAGCTACTAAAACGAAAGAGGTAATTAAAGTAAGGCCTAGAGCCCACCTTAGGCATGCTGAACAAATGGGAGGAACAATTCACACCCTCAGTGAGAAGATGTACTTTTCCTTTCCATCCCAGAAATCCCACCCTCCCACCTCACTTGGGTATGGTTGCTCCTGGAGCCTTCCCTGGGTTAAGCCTGCTTGCTTTCCTGAATTACTTAGACAAGTATAACTGTTCCTTTTTCTCCCCTCCCCTCCCCCTACACACACACACACACACACACACACACACACACACACACACACACACACACAGAGAGAGAGAGAGAGAGAGAGAGAGAGAGAGAGAGAGAGAGNCACACACACACACACACACACACACACACACACAGAGAGAGAGAGAGAGAGAGAGAGAGAGAGAGAGAGAGAGAGAGAGAATATGTATACACACATACACATATACACCCAGATGCTGGCCATAATCTAGACACGCTTCTCCTGATAACTCCGTGCTTTCTCACTCTTTCTCTCTGAAGTTATTCCTGCCCCTGACTCCTAAGCCCTGATTTCTTCCATGTGGTGGTTTACAAAAGGCATGATTTTTCTCTCTTCCTTTTTTTCCCCTGCTCCCTGGCAGCTACCAAGATTTACAGCTTCCCAACCCTAAGGGTTTTCTTTTAAAGACTAATTAAATTGTCATTGTCCTTGGGCTTCCTACTGAGTCTTTTTTTAAAGACAGAGTCTCACTAAGCAACTCTAGCAAGACCAGAACCAAGAGGTCTGCCTGTTCTGTCTCCTGAGCACAGGGGCCTGAGTCTCTTCTTAAATTCTTTAATTAGTGGGACTAAAACTCAAGAGGAAACCCCAATTTGCCCAGTAACATGTGACACTCCAGGTTGGGCTCCCCAAAATTTCCTAGTAACAACAATAGGTAGCGCCTAGCTTCTAAACTAATAAGCCTGTAGCCCCAGTTCAGAGAGCTTCTAGGGGTGTCAAGAACACCTTGGAATTCGGACCTGACTTAAATCAATGCCCAGAAACTAATTTACGATCACTACAGTCTGTCTGTTTCCAGACAGGATCAGCAGAAAGCTGTCTTCAATGACACGAGCACCTTCACACCTGCAGCCACAACTGACTCCAGTACAAGTACAGCCTCTGGCAGAAACACAGCGGTAAGAAGTGGCAAGGTATGAAAGTGCCCCAACTCCTAGCAGGTCTTCTGCAGCAAAGGGAAACGGGAAATGACAGCGCACTTGCCAGAGCAAGCATGCTCTGTGAAGCCACAGGGCTCCCTTACTCCCTGTGCCCAAAGGACAGAGAAGTCCTGGATGTAGAAAATCTTGCTCTTCTTTTTATTCTTTGGCTTTAATAAGAAAAGATCCTGTTTTAATTTTGAGCTTAAAAAAAAAAGCTAACAAAAGCAGGCTGTTCTCTTTGTTTAGCACCATGTGAAATCATTACTAAGACGTCAGTTTTCTATTGTCTAGGTAGTAGATTGTAGTTATTTAGTTTTACAAGGACTTCTTTGGCCAAGAAATCTGTCCATTTGGAAAAGAATAGTATTGCATACTATTATGCAGATTTGCACATGCTACAATTGTGGTGCCTTTCAGTCTGAAGGAATCAAATGCTGGGTTCTTTTTACTGAAGACCAAGGTCTTGGTTGGCTGCACCCCGATTTGTGAAAGACAGCCGCTTTCTTTCACTCAGACGGCAGGCACACTGGTAAGTTCAAAATCCCCCTTCCCTCGCAAGTATTAAGTAACAGAGCAAATGAGATGGCAGATGCGGAAGAAGACCTTGTCGTTCTTGTCACTTTCCTCGATTCTTTTGAAGCCTTTTGTTCTATGTCTAGTCTCATCAATTAGCTACTTATTCAAACACCCATTTCTTACTCTATCAAGTAATGGCTCTGACATGCTCCTCTCCCAACACCTCCATGATCAACTTCTCCCGACTGCCCATCTATCTTAGATAGTACACATATTCCCTTAGTACCATAATTTATATTATCTTCTAACTATTCGAATTCTGTTCCTGTTCCTAGAGCCAGGTCCCCGTGACAGGGAATTTCCAAGGAATGCGTAGGTTGTCTAGCTATTTCCTTTTCCCTGTCCCTGCTGAAGAACCTGGGGTCTAGGGAGGTCTGGGCAAGTTTGCAGGAAAGCTAGGTATACAGCGCAGATGCCTTGACTTTCAGTTCAGTGCTTCCCACTGTCTTAGGCCATTTATCTTACTTGCATCTTTTCAGAACACCTTATAAAACGCTAGACACACGCGTGGTTCCCTTGAGTATCAGTATAACAAGTGGACAGGTTTATCTAACTGAGAGATTGACCAGGGAAAGAGTAAGAAGGCAGAAAGGCATCATTTCCTTACTTCTTTGCGTGATGCCACCCTCCAGACCAGTTAATCGCTACTTTACACTTCCCGTCAATCAGGCACTGGGCAGCAGTGATTGTAGCTCCTCCCACAGCGGCCGCATAGTCAAATATTCCTTCTGTGGCTGGGCAGTCATAACCTGGGGGCAGAACCCAGAAAATTCTGTTAAAGAAGATCTGGGGAAGGAAGAATAGGTTAAGCTGTGACAACAGCGCAGCCTAAAGAAGGTTCTGGGCTAAAACCAGCTCCAATGGGGACACATAAGCATCTCTAATGTTCAGGGAAGGCTTTCACAGGTTAGCGATAGAAAGGGTAAAGCCTTCAAGATGACCTTCTCATATCCCACCAGCAGTCCATCAAGGCCCGAGAGGTGATGTATTTTGCCAGTGGTCACAAAGAGCCAGGCCTGGGACCGGGTCTTTTGATAGCCAATCTAGTATCTTTCTTTAAGCCACACAGTTTCTCTAGAAGAGCGGTGCCTTTGACACTGCAGCATGCTGCTGTCGCCTACAAATGTGTTGGGCCCTATTCATAGCTATCGTGGGAGGCATGTGGCCCATGAGCTGCAAGCTGGACACACCTGCACTAGACCATGCTGTTGACAATTCACTGTGATTTTTTTAAGGCATCTGTTGACGAAGGATAAGGTAGGAAACTTAGCCAGAATTTAAACATTTACCTAATGCCATGCATGGTGATGCACACCTTTAATCCCAGCACTTGGAAGGCAGAGGCAGGTGAGTTCCATGCCAGCCTGGGCTTTACAGTGAGACCCTGTCTTGGAAAAATTAAAAAAAAAAAAAAACTCAAACCAAATAATACTTAAAATATATGATCACAACAGCCAGAGCAGCCCCAAGTGCTGCCGTTAGAATCTCAGCACTGAGCCATTCTTCTCCATCAGGCTCATGGTTCTCTTGTGTTCGACTCATAGAGTGTTCACAATATGACCAGACTGAGGGATTAAAATGAACAGTCGGGGCTTGAGATGTAGCTAAGGCAGAGTGCCTCGTTAGCATACTCCAGGACCTGGGTTCCACCCTCAATAACACACACAGGCACAGACAGACAGACAGACACAAACACATGCACACACATGCATCAGTTATATTATTTCTTAATTTAAAAGTATGGGGCCACAGAGGTGGCTAGCAGTTAAGAGCACTTTTTGTTCTTCCAGGGGCCCTGGATTCAATTCTCAGAATCCACATGGCAGCTTCCAAACATCTCTAACTTCAGGTCCAAGGGCTCTAAGGCCTCTTATGACCTCCACTGGCACTGCATGCATGTGGTACACACACATACACTCAGGAACACAGGCATATACATAAAACTTAAAATAAAGATAAAAAAGAAAAGAAACAAGTATTAAGGGTTAGGGAAGTAGCTCAGTCAGTAAAATGCCTGGCACACAAGGATGAGGGCCTGAGTTCAGATTCCTAGCATCCATGTAAAAGCCAGCACACGAGGCATGAATGTGTAACCCCAGCACTGGAGGGGTGGTGACAAGTAGATGCTTGGAGACCACTGGCCGCCCAACCTCGTCAAAATGGTGAAGTTCAAGTTCAGTGAGAGACTCAAAATGTAAGGTGGGGAGTGATTAAAGAAGACACCCAGAGCCAGGCGGTGGCAGCGCCTTTAATCCCAGCACTCAGGGGCAGAGGCAGGCGGATCTCTGTCAGTTCAAGGCCAGCCTGGTCTACAGAGGGAGGTCCAGGACAGTCAGGGCTACACAGAGAAACCCTGCCTCAAACAAAACAAAACAAAACAAAACAAAACAAAACAAAACAAAACAAAACACACCCAGTGCTGACCTTTGGTTCTACGTGTACCAGCAGACACAAGCACACTATTGCACGTACACACATCCTTCTACATAAACACAGAGAGACAAACTAAGTACCATAATCTACAAACTGGGGTCCCATTGTTGCCCGAGGGACTCTTACCTAGTCCGTATTCTATAGAGTCCGGATGGTCCTCATCACCTTCTTGGCTGACCTTCTGGAGATGTTGCAGATAGGCATCAGTGTGGAAGCTGGCCATATCCTCCATGGAGGCCACTTTGGGCTTCACTATCCTAATAATAACAGCGTGGACATACAGAAGTACATGAGACTCAGAGTATGCAAGGAGCTGGAAATAGCAGTCAATATCTGAACAGAAAAGACAACTCCCAGCTTCTGGTTCCAGTGAGCCGAAGTCATAAACACACTATGTCGCTCCGCTGCACTGCCCAGCCTTCACTTCCTCCATCTATGATACTGACCCCACTAATAAGAGACAAGAGGACAGATTTTTTTTTCTTTTGGGTTTTTAGGTAGGAGACCATAACTGAAAAACCATATTTAACTCAAACAAATAATCTTGGATCAAGGTCCCTGGTTTAGCCACATAGAACGCATTAACCCGGGGCCAGAAGGATGGCTCAGGGGGTAAAGGCATCTGCCATTAAGCCTGCCAACCTGAGTTTAATCCCTGGGACCCACATTGTGGAGGAGAGAACCAACTGCCCTGGCAAGTTGCCCTCTGACCTCCATGTGTGCTCTGTGGTACACACATCCCCCTAAAGAAATACATATCATTTTTTAAAAAATTAAAAGAGCTCTGGAGCTGGAGAGATGGCTCGGGGTTAAAAGAATTTGTTGCTTTGGCAGAGGACTGGGGTTCAGTTTCCATCTCCCACATGGTGACTTACAACCACGTGGAACTCCAGTTCGAGATCTGACCTCCATAGGTACCAGGCACACATGCACACACACGCACAAGCCAAGCACTCATACACATAAAATAAGTAATCATAAAACTATATGTCTAGAAGGCTGAAATATAAGCTTTACTCCGTAAGTTACATCTCATGACAAAGCAGGAAAGCTAGTCACGTTTGAATCAGTTTCTGCTTGGACCAGGCAATTCTTTCAGTGTAGTCACTTGCTTTAGTTTTGGTGCTGAGCCTTGTCCCCCTCTCCCCCACCCCGCATCCCTCTGTGTCTTTATTTGAATAGGCAGCTGGGTTATCAAGCAGAATTTGAAGCCAGAGTACTGAATTCCTTTCCTAACTCCGTACTTACTAGTTCTGTTAACTTCAGGTGAGTTGACTGTTCTATACCTCAGCTTTCTCATCTGTAAAATGGGTCAGCTTAGTGGACTTATGTGGAGATGAAATAACATATACAAAACTTCATGGACAACTAGCATTAATATTAGAGTAAAAAGGCGGGAAACTGGACGGGGGATGCAGAGCAGTTATACAACATCTGCCTGACATGGGCAAGGCCCTACGGTTGGTGCCAAAAGCTGCAGAAAAAGGTAATATGTGAGATATGGTGGCAAATGTCTGTAATCATAGCACTTGAGAGGCAGGAGAATCATGAGTGTGAGGCTAGCCTAGGCTACACAACAAGTTCTACACCACACTGGGCTCTATAAGAGTGTCTCAAAAAATAATGAGAAGTCAAATGTAAAAAGTGTTTATTTATGGGGGGCTGTATGGGCACAAATGCAGGGGGTTTTGCAAGCCCGTGCATGCACAGAGGCCAGCAAAGGAGGCCACAATCCTGCTCTGTAACTCTCACTCTATTTCCTTGAGACAGGCTCTCTCACTGAATCTGAACCTGGAGTTAGACTGGTGATCAGCAAGCCCCAGCAATTTTTCTGACTCTTGTTTATCCCTTCCAAGACACCGGGGCTACATGGATGTGTGACACAACCCAGCTTTTCCTCTAGATTCTGAGGACTTGAACTTGGGTCCTAGTGTTTGCATAGCAAGTGCTCTTACTTTCTGCTTTATCCTTCCAGTGTCCTCAAACATAAAGTTTCTATTGCTTGTTCTCTTCCCTCTGTCTCCCAAGGAAGGACAGAAGGAGCAAACGGCTAGAGCCTCTCAACCTGCTCCCCACAGTGAGCGAGAAAAGGAAGAAAGGAGAGAATAAAGGAAGCAAGTTACATGAGGATTTTGGCCTCGAACCTGCTGAGTCTCCATCTTCACTTCTGGATTCTGCTGCAGTTAAGTTCTCTAACCCTTGCCAATGAATGGGTAGGTAGTGAACACACTAGCAGCATGGCGTTTCTTTCTTAGAAAAGCAAAGCTCAAGTCTGAATCTAGGCCCAATGAACCACAATTTGTATTCTAACAAGAACACACACACAGGTTTTTCAAGACAGGGTTTCTCTGTGTAAGCTGTCCTGGAACTCCTTCTGTAGACCAGGCTGGCCTCGAACTCACAGAGTGTTAGGATTAAAGGTGTGCACCACTACTTCTGGCTTCATATCAATCTTAACATGATGACTGCCCATTTAAATTGAAGGAGCACCACTCTAGCCGTGTATATTCTTCAAATGAGAGTAGAGCCATGAGGTTATCATGAACTAACACAGGTAGGATACTTAGGCAACTAGTATAACCAAGGTGTTTGAAATCATGTCGTTCAACTTTAAAAGTTAGAGTCAAAATCAAGGATTCTTGATTTTTCTTCAAGTACTCATCTATACCATGAGAGGCGAAAAAGTTGTCCATTAAAATAAAAAATCTCAGGGCCAGCAAGATGGCTCAGCAGGTGCAAGAACTCGCTACCAAGTCTGATGACCTGAGTTCAATTCCTGGACCCACATGGTGGAAGAGAGAATCAACTCCCGCCAAGTTGTTTTCTGACCTCCGCATATGCACTTGGCTGACCACTCCCTCACACACTCAACACCCCATCAAAATAAACAAATGCAATGTTAATAAAAATGTTTAAAATAAAATATCAAGAAGCCTGGTGTAACGGCGCATGCCTTTAATCCTAGCACTCAGGAAGCAGAGACAGGCAGATCTCTGGGAGTTCAAACAGAGCTAGTTTCGGGACAGAATATGTAAGAGGGCCAGTTTCAATTTTTTTCACAATCACAATCATATTGGATTATGTTTCCCAGCTTCTCCAAATGTTTTCTCTTACATTTATTACTTATTTCCCTGAATCCTAAAACTAAAGAACACTGACAGCCTCTCCTGACCAGCAAGCTAACGAGTCTTGCTTTAACATCTTATTTGCAATAAAGTATTTTTAAGTGTTGACTGT